CTGAGAGTAGCTTGTGATATGGAGTCTCTGCTAGGGATTCTTGCTCTTCATCATGGAAGAAATAAACCAGTATAACACTTTTAAATCTAGCTTTTTATTTTGACAATATTTTGAATCTACAGAAACGCTGTAAGAATTGGGCTGGCCTCATAGCCTAGTGGTTATGGGAATCAGATCCCACATGGCTGACCAAGGATCAAATCCCAGCCCTGTTGGCTCGAAAAACACACGAAGCGCGCGCGTGTGTGTGTCTGTGTCCCAAATCCTGACCGGATAGAGAAACGGAGGGTGGAGAAATGTCACGGCCACACCCCATTAGAGGGTGCTTTTTTTCTCTCTCCCTCTCTCTTTATTTCCCTGTCTCTCTCTAGTGAGTGCAAGCATCTTCTGGCAACTAAAAAAGGAAAAAAACCTCTAAGTGTTATGCAACAAATTTCTATATGTATTTCACCCACATTCATTAATTACTGACATGTGACCCAAATCTCTCTCTCCATACATACACATGTATACATGTCATTTTATCCTGGGTGAACGATGGATGTCAGTCACATACCTAAATCCTCAGTGCATTTCCAAAGAACAAAGACGTTTGCTTCCGCGCAGTGTCGTGATAGTCGCAGGCAGGACATTTAGCGCGGGTGCAGAACTATCGTGTGCTGCACATACCCACACTTCGCCAATTGTCCTGTTTGCTGTTTTGACATTTTCTGATTCAGGATTTAACCTGGCAACCCTCGCTATTTTTGGTCGCTTGATCACTCTTGCCTCCTTCATGTTGGCTTTTTTTTTTTTTTTTTCTGTAGGGCACATGCGCTTGCTGGAGACAGAGAGACAGAAAGTAAAAAATCAACCTCAGGGGGATAGCCACACCACAATCCTTTCTCCTTTATTCTCCTCTGGGATTTTGGACACACATGCACACATGCCCGGCATGTTCATAGCATTTTGCTAAGCATTCCTGAAGCACTCTGATAAAGAGAACATATTCCACAAATAGATTCCCCTGCAGGTCCAACGTCTCAGAGTATCCTGTTACTTCTGCACCCCAGGCTGGAGAGAGAGAAAGACAAAGAGAGAAAGAGTGAGCTAGCGAGCGAGTGAGAAAGTAAGTCTCTGCATCCGGGACTTGAACCACAGTTGGTTATGTGGGAGTCCAGCACTTTAACCGCCATGCCATCTGCTGGTCTCAACATCAAACTATTTCTGAGAAAAAGCAATAATAAACTAATATATGAGTAGACACATACAACATAAAATGAGGGAACTCTGTCTTTTCATGTTGTTACTGGTATTTAATTGCTTGACTTATTATCTAAGCCTGAAGTAAATCTTTCAAATCATTGTTCCTAAAGAGGTTCTTCCTGGGTTTTTCTATGTACATTATACCACCAAGTATAATAACTTCATATTTGGTCTACTTTGATGTGTTCTGGAAGGGATTGCGGCGTGGCCATCCCCCCTGGGGGATGATTTCTCACTTTCTGTCTCTCTGTCTCTCTCTGTCTGTCTGGCTAGCACATGCACCCTATAGCAAAAACCTCTCCAAAAAAAGTATTTTATTCAATTAATTTTTGTTATTATTATTATTATTATTCTTTAAAAATTTGACCAAGGAGAGATAGAGATAGAGATGGTAGAGATAAAGACAGAGATAGAAAGAGAGAGAAAGTGAAAAAGCAAGCCGCCAGGTCCGGGGCTAGAATAGCAGTTGGTCATGTGGGAGTCTCAGTGCCTCAACCACCACACACCTGCCAGCCCCCTCTTCTACATTTTAAAATTTATATTCTATGGTAAGGAAGGCATTTCCTTTCATCCTCTTTATTTAATTATCTGTTTGAATTTGTTGACCAGATTGGAGTAATAGATTCTGGTTTTATCCAATGAGTTATAATTAATTGTTATTTACTTTCATGCTTAAATTGTCCTGGATTTGGCCCAGGGGAGCCCTTTAAACTGGCCCCATCTATTCTTTGACATGATCTGACTGAATCACGTCCCCTCAAAATCCACGTGCTGAAGTCCTAGCCCCCAACACCACCACGCGTGACCGTGTGAGAGTCTTTACGGCAGTGACGAAGGTGAGCTGAGGTCAGCAGCACGGGCTTGAATCCAATATACGTGGGTCCCTCTAAGAAGAGGAGGTTAGGACATTGACACGCAGAGAGAAGGCCATGTGAAGACCCTGGGAGGAGGTGGCCCTCCGCGAGCCAAGGAGAGCCCTCAGAAGAGACATCCCTGCTGCCGTGTTGGTCCTAGACCTCTGGCCTCCGGAACCGTGACCGTGAGAAGATAGACAGCTGTCATTTAAGCCACCCAGTCTATGGTGTTTGTGACGGCAGCGAGTAGTCAGCGATGTCCACACTTCTCGATTTTGTAGCGTTAGCTTGAACCTAGGCCATTGTGTTTTCCTTTCTTCTTCATCTTCTTTAACATTTATTTAGTTATCTATTTGTTTATTGTGATTTTCAAGCCACCAGGTCTAGGACTTGAACCATGGTCACCCATGTGGGAATCCAGTGTCTTACCCAACACACCACTTGCTGGCCCTTACATGGTGTTTTCTTTTCTTTTCTTTTTTTTTTTTAAAGAATTATTTATTTTTCATTTTATTTATTCATTTGCTTATTTTATTTTCACCAGAGAGAGACACACAGAGAGACAGAAAGTGAGAAAGCAAGCCACCAGGTCCAGGACTTGCACCATGGCCAGCCATGTGGGAATGTCCAGTGCCCTAACCACCACTCCACCTGCTGGTCCCCTATGGTGTTTTCTTTACATTGATTTCACCTAACATTCATTTCCAATTTTTTTTTTTTGAGAGAGACTTGGTTATAGGGCACGTGTGCTCGCTGAAGAGAGAGTCAGAGAGACAAAGCGAGAAATCACCCCTCAGGGGGAATGACCATGCTGCAATCCCTTCTCCTCCATTCTCCTCCATTCTCCTCTTGGGATCTTGGGCACGCACGCACACACGCCAGCATGAGTTTTGAGCCGCAGGATCTGGGACTCAAACTGCAGTCGACTACATGGGAGTCCAGCGGTGTAACCATTATGCCATCTGCGGGTCCCTATTCCTGAAATATTTATTGGGCATCTGTGATGTTCCACACCCTATTTTAAGCACTGGGAATTCATCAAGAAACAAGACAGACCCAAATCCCTGTCCTGGCGAGTTTATACTCCAGGAAGGAGATAAGAGTCAGGAAATGAGTAAGGTACACAGCACGCGAGATGGTGATGCTTGAGGTGCAGAAGACAGGAAGGGGACAGGGCGTGTTGGGGAGGGTGAGCATTTTATTTTATTGGCTTACAGAATTATGTTATTCAACTTTATTTACTTACTATTTTAATTTGACTAGAGAGGGACAGAGCACGCGAGAAGGGAGAGAGAGGGAGAAGCAAGCCGCCAGGTCTGGAACTCAAACTGTGATTGGCCATGTGGGAGTCTAGCACCCTTAACCACCTGCTGGCCCCCTTTATTTTTCTGGGGGGGAGAGATTTTTTATATAGAGTGCACGCAGTCACCAGAGAGACAGAGAGAGAGAGAGACAGAGAGACAGAAAGTGAGAAGTCACTCCTCAGGGGGATGGCCACGTCGCAACCCCCCATTCTCCTCTTAGGATCTTGGGCACACACACACACATGCCTGACATGAGTTCAAGTTACTGGGTCCAGGTCTCAAACTGCAGTTGACTACATGGGAGTCTAGTGACATAACCATTATGCCCTCTACTGGTCCCTACATTTTATTTTTTACTAAAAAAACTTTTTATTTATTTATTTTTTGCTATAAGGCACGTGCGCTTGCAAGAGAGACAGAGAGACAGAAAGCGAGAAATCATCTCCCGGGGGAAATGGCCATGCCGCAGTCCCTTCTCCTTCAGTCTCCTCTCGGGATCCTGGGCACACACTCACACGTGCCTGGTGTGAGTTTAAGCCACCGGGTCCGGGACTTGAACCGTGGTCGACTACATGGGAGTCCAGCAACATATCCATTATACCAACTGCTGGTCCCCCAAACCTTTTATCTTTATTCATTATAGGATGAGAGAGAGGACAAGAAAGACACGAGCACCCTCTATAGGGCCTGGCTGTGCCACAGTCCCATTCCCCAGTCCTCCTGGCTGTGGGCTCTTGGGCACTCAACCGCCCGTGTGCCCGGCGTGTTTCAGGTGGGGCAGGCTAGAGAGCTGAGCCACAGGTGCCAGGTGGAAGCTGGCTTCTCTGGACAGCACCTACTGCTGCACCACGGAACTGGCCAGGGGTTAACATTTTAGGGAAAGCCCCATGGGGAGGAGGAGAGTTTGAGTAGAGACCTGAGGCTGGTGTGGGAGGAAGAGAGAGCGCTTGCTGCCTCGATTTGAGCTGTGCTTTCCTTTGTATGGACGTAGCCCACCCTCATCAGTTTGAGAACCAGGAGCAGGTTCCTTCCTATTGATCATTTTCTTGTGTTAGAATCTAGCTAGGGTGGTTTCCAACTTTCTCGTATATCTAGGTTTCCTGGGAAAACCTTAAGTTTGGGGGTTTGTTTGTCAAAATAGGATTTGAAACCCTAAAATTAGGAGAGTTTATATGATAATGGTTTCATGTTGCTGAATAGCCACGTAAGTAGATGGACCGCTTGAGCAGTCCACTAGGGAGGTGTTGAGACCATGGGGAGTGTGGACGTGCGTGTCTGTAATACCCAGACAAGCCACCAGGTGTCAGCCCTCCACCGCCCGTCTGCTCTGGGACGGCTTTCCTTGAGGGAAACAATTTGCCCTGGTGGGAAACCAGGCGGTCCAGGCACTGATACCTCATCCATTGCGGTCTGGACTAGATTCTGGAGCCCTGCTTCGTTCTGCCGCACCTCTCTGCCCCACAGAGAGCAACCTCGAGTATTAGCACCACTGAACACGAAATCCTTTATTGTCGGCGGAGAATGGAGCTTCGAGGAGCACCAAAAACGGCTGGAGTCAGCTGGGCTGGGCGGGACCCCCTCCCTCCCGCTGCGTGTGTTGAAATGTGCATCTGGGGCGGCCTGGAGGAGCCCCGGCATTTACACAGCGGGGGCCAGGCCAATCCTGTTATTGGCCCTATCAAACGCAGTGAAGTACAGCCTCAGGAAAACGTCTCCCAGCACCCAGATGTCCGAGTAAGGCTCGTCACCTACAGACTCTTCAAAGTTGCTGCGGCAGGTGCCCAGATGGTTCTGGAGGAGGAGGAGACAGCATGAGCCGGAGGCCTGGCCTGCCGCTCCCCCACCCCCCATACCCTGAAGCTCAGAAAAAATGTCAGCACAGGACCATCAGTTGGCATAATGACTATGTGGCTGGACTCCCATGTAGTCAGCCACGGTTCAAGTCCCAGACCTGGTGGCTTAAACTCGGCATGTGCGTGCGTGCCCAAGACCCTGAGAGGAGGTCTTTCTCTCTTTCTTCTTTCTTTCTTTCTTTTTTTTGGGAGAGGTTTTTGCTGTAGGGCGCATGCGTTCGCCAGAAAGACATAGAGAGACAGAGAGATAGAAAGCAAGAAATCACCCCCCAGGGGGATGGCCACACCGCCATCCTTTCTCCTCCATTCTCCTCTCGGGATCTTGGGCACGCACGCACAGGCGCCGGGTGTGAGTTCTAAGCCATCAGGTCCAGGATGCGAACCGCGGTCGACTACATGGGAGTCCAGTGACATAGCTATTACGCCAACTGCTGGTTCCCACGTGCCTCCTCTTTTCATGCGGACATCCTTGCCACCTGCAGAGGGAGGTGCGGAGACCCTCCTTACAGAGGAGGGAGCTGGGGCTAAGTGAGGCCAAGCTGCGGCCTGGGGCTAGGGTGACTTATCACTCGGATCAGGACAGTTTGGAGGTGGGAAGGGTGCACTGTTAACAGTTATGATGGGGCAAGGGGAACCAGCAGTTAGCGTAATGGCTATGTCGCTGGACTCCCGTGTAGTCGACCGCGGTTCGCGTCCCACGTCCTGGACCCGGTGGCTTAAAACTCACGCCAGGCGCGTGTGCGTGTGTGCCCAAGATCCCGAGAGGAGATTGGAGGAGAAGGGATTGCGGTGTGACCATCCCCCCTGGGGGGTGATTTCTCGCTTTCTGTCTCTATGTCTGTGTCTGGCTGGCGAGCGCACGCGCCCTACAATGAAAACCTCTCCAAAAAAACCAACCAACCAACCAAACAAAAAAAAAACCAGTTATGGCGGGGCAACACACTGGGAAGTGCCGGCCAACCCACTTGTCACCACGCCTTTGGCCTAGTCAGGTGTTGCGGTAGCCAGCTCTCCCTGTGCATTCATCAGAATGGAACGTCCTGACTGAACGGAAGCTCCTTGGGTGGGTGGGTAGGGACAGTGTCCCCCATTCCTTATCCCTAGCACCAGGCCGGCACTGGGTGCTTGCTCAGAATGTATCCGAAGGTGAGGAACGTCTCAGACCGCCCCTTGCTATCCACATGTTTGTGCTGCAGGAGGCGCCAGCCCTGCCAGTGAGCTCTGCAGCTTTTGCAATGGCACATCTTGGCCTCCAGGGGGAGCCTTTCTCCCAACCATAGCCCAACTTTTTTTTTTTTTTTAATAGTTTTGCTCTAGGGTTCATGTGCTCACACCTGAAGATGTGAGAGAGAGAGAGAGAGGGAGGGAGGGAGGGGGGGAGAGAGGGAGAGAGAGAGAGAGAGAGAGAGAGAGAGAGAAGGCGGAGAGGGAGAGAGAGAGAGAAGACGGACAGGTGGCGTGGTAGTTGAGGTGCTGGACATTCCCATGTGGTCGACCACAGTTCAAGTCCTGGACCTGGTGGTTTGCTTTCTCACTTTCCCTCTCTCTCTCTCTGGTCAAATTAAATAGTAATAATAATAAATAAATAATTCTTTAAAAAAGAGAGAGAGAGAAGTCCTGGAATCTGGGGCTCGGCCCCCAGGGCTGGGCCCCTCACCTTCTGGATATAGGCACTAGCTGGCACTGGATAGTTGCCGCCATCGATGGTGAAGACGATGTCAGGCAGAGTGTGGACGGCATTACAGTCGACGGCGTACTGTCACGGGAGACAGGAGGGAGAAGTCGGTCAGCTGATGCTTCGGGGTGTGGGGAGCCCGGATCAACCCTCGGGCCTGATCCCCTACCTCGCCGTCATAGGAGTGTTGGGCATTGATGAGCTCCTGGATGTTGAGGACAGGGTCACGGGGGCCGGTCAGCAAGGAGGTGCCAGTATCGATGATGGCCTGGCAGCCGCCATCACAGGCAATGACCTCTCCGTTCACGGAGATGCTGAGAGAGCGGGACAAAGTGGGAGCAGGATCATGCCAGAAGCCCCACCCCGGCTGTCTCTCAGCAGCCCTGTAGCTCAGACTCCTCTCTGCTTCCCTCTGGGCTGCCCACACTGATCTTTCATGTCCTTAACGTTCTTGAAAACCCCAAGCTCTTTTCTGCCTCGGGGCCTTTGCACCTGCAGGGTTCCTTCCCAGGGCCACCCCCACCCCCTCTGGCTAATTCTCCTGCCCTCCAGGCTCTGGCTTAGGCGTCACTTTCCAAGGAAGTCTTCCCTGCAGACCAGATCAGGCTCCCCTGCTGGCCACCTTCGTCATCCCCTCGCTCATTTCTAGCTGGTGCGTGTCATTCGTGGCAGGTTGTGTCCTCAGCGCCTGCCCAGCACACAGCAGGCGCTCAACATGTGTTTGTTGAATGAATGAAAGAACGAATGAGTGAGGGACGAGTGGAGGCTGTACCCGCCGTCTGACAAGTTACAGGGCCCACAGAATGAAGACGGGGTTCCCTGGGGCAGCGGTGCCCAGGTGGCAGGAAGGGAGCTACAGTCTCCTCTGGAGGAGGTATCTTCCTGCCTGTCCCTAGCTCAGATGCTGACCCCAGACGCTGAGGTCCCCCTCCCAGGCAACGCCTAAGGCAGCCTGAGGGGAAGGCCCTGGGCACAGAAAGCCTCCAAAGGACAGGCCTTCATCCCATGGCATCGCGTGAAACCCAGCCTGGCTTCCCCTCCACGTTCTCAGGCACCCCTGGGCCCCCAGGTTCCTACTCTGTCACAGTCCCCTGCCCCCTGCATGCCAGGGATGGCAGTGGGTGGAGTGTCCTTTGCATAATTGGCTTTTAGTTCTCGAGAATGAGGCAGACCTCGCTGCTGTGGGTATCTTCTTTCAGGGCCTAACCTTCCCAGCTTGCCTGTTCTAAATGGAGACTCCTGGGTAAACCGGGATGGTTGGTCACTTACTGTGACTCTGTTCAGCCTGGTGCACTTCTCCTGGGTCCCCTTCTTACTGCACCGTGGGCGCTTAGACTTCAGTTCATGCCCAGCCCACAGAGCAGTGTGCTACTCCCCCACGGCGAGGGCATCTTCCCAGGGACTTCGGTTCTCAGGTCTCTCCATCCCCTCCCCTTGGTGCCCAAGGCTCAGGCCTGACCCATCCTCTCTGCTCTAAACCCTGGTCAGGAGGCCTGGAGGGATTATGAACCCATGGGTGGGGTGGACGTGTCTGTGTGATGGTCTGAGGCTGCTGTCCATGCCTACCTGCCAGTAGGTGGGTCTGGACACGGGCACCCAGTGGAGGTCTCCTCGGTAGTAGGAGGGGTCCACCCCTCCGAGCATCAGCACGCTGCCCTTCTCGTCCTTGCTGCGGGGCGGGAGGGAGAGGAAGGGCTCGGAAAAGTGGCAGCACTTTTCAAGCTCAGCGACACGCCAGGCGCTGCCGAAGGGTTTGCTGGTCGCCGCTGACTTAATCTGCACACACTCACGCGCCTGTGGGACAGGCACCGCTGGGATCTCCATTCTATGGAGAGCAGACGGTGGCAAGGAGGGGTGAGCTCCTGCCCAAGGACGGTCGCTGGGTGGCGAGTGAAAGGCTGAGGCTTGAACCTGGTTGCTGACCACCTCACCTTCCAGAAGGTGGCCAGGTCCCCTCCGGCAATCAGAGCTGGTATCAGACTGATATGTGGAGGGTGTCGTGGCCGGAGGGGTCTGACCCCCACATGTAGTCTGTCATTTTGCAGAAAAATCGAGGCCTGAGGGGACCCGAGGCCATGTGTTTAGGATCATTCTAGGGGCTTCATGGAGCCCAACTGTGCAGGGCATGGAGCCCTGCTGGGAAGTCCTCACCCTCTGCTGTGGCTGTCCTGGGTTTCTGAATACATTTAAAAAGTCTATTTATTGGGACCAGCAGATGGTGTGGTGGTTACATCACTGGACTCCCACATAGTAGACTGTGGTTTGAGTCCCACACACCGAGGACTCACCACCGGGCGCATGTGCGTGCGTGCCCCAAATCCTGAAAGGAGAATGGAGGAGAAGGGATTGCGGCGTGACCATCCCCATGGGCAAGAGATCAATTGCTTTCTGTCTTTCTGTTTCTCTCTGTCTTTCCGGTGAGCATATGCAGCCTATAGGAAAAAAGAAAAAAAAAATCCAAACCAAAACAAACAAACAAAACTCTCTTTAAAAAAGTTTCTTTCTTTCTTCTTTGAGAGAGACAGAGATGAAGACAGAGAGAGCTTAGCCTTAGGCCGTTAGACGCGGGCTTTGTCTGTTCCTGTGGTGACGAGGTGCAGTGACTATAACCCTGAAAACATCTGCATGTTTTTCAGAAAAAATTTTAAAACTTTCTTTCTTTCATGAGAGAGAGAGAATGAGACCCAGAATAAGAATGAAAGAGAAAGAGAGGGACGCCCACAAAGGGTCTGCATGCTGCGATCCTCCCCAGTCTCAGCCGGCCCAGATCCTGCGCTGAGGGAGGTCCAAGGACACGCGGGTTTAGTTACCTTACTGCCGTGCCCCTAAATTCTTAATAGTTTTTGAACAAGGGCCTCCATAGTAGCCCTTTTATTCTTCTTCTTCTTTTTTTTTTTTTTTTTTTAAAAGAGGGATTTTGTTTGTTGGCATGTGGGTTTTGCTGTAGGGCATGTGGACTTGCTGGAGAGACAGAGAGACAGAAAGTGAGAAATCACCCCCCAGGGGAGATGGCCATGCCGCAATCCCTTCTCCTCCATTCTCTTGGGATTTTGAGCACGCACACCTGGTGTGAATTTCAAGCCACTATATCGGGGACTTGAACTGTGGTTGGCTACATGAAGTCCAGCGACATAACCGTTATGCCATCTGCTAGTCCCCATGGTTGCCTTTTACACTGGACCCTGCACAGTTTCTAGCTGGCCCTGGGCTCATGGTGAAATCTCCATGGGATGGAAACCTCCCTGCTGACTCCTCTCCATCAGCAAATCCCGTTGCTTGTTCCTCCAACACAGAGCTCGGTCCCTCCACTCTTCCCCATCCCTGCCACCTCTCTGGACCAAGCTGGCTCCCTTCCTTCTAAAGAGGCTGCAGCCTCTACCCTGGCCTTCCTGCCTCCGCTCTGTTTAGGTCATTCTCCAGCAGGCATCTAGGGGGAGCTTTCAGAAATGTATGCTGGATCCCATCTTTTTTTTTTTTTTTTTTTAAAGAGAGATTTTTGCTATAGGGCCCATATGCTCGCTGGAGAGAGAGAGAGACAGAGAGACAGAAACTGAAAAATCACCCTCCAGGGGAGAATTGGCCACACCACAATCCCTTCTCCTCCATTCTCCTCTCAGGATTTTGGGTATGAACACACACATGCCTGGTGTGAGTTTCAAGCTTCCGGGTCTGGGACTCAAACTGTGGTCAGCCATGTGGAAGTTCAGCGACATAACCATTATGCCATCTGCTGGTTCCCAGATCCCATCTCTTCCCTGC